AAAAAAAAAAAAAAAACCCAGAAGAATCTTCAAAGCTCTAGGAGAAACTATGGGGAAATTATTTTATACTTCCAGAGTAGAGATAAACCCATGTTGACACAAGTCACAGAAGGTGTACAAGAAGAGGTGATATAATACTCAATGAGAAAAGATACAGAGTATGTGTATGGTGTGATAGTATATGACAGTATGATAACTCTAGTATACCCCGTATCTGGGATGCTACTACATACTTTTTTAAAGATGTTAAAAGGTAGCTTTGGAAGGATACATTAAAAAAAAAACAGTAACTTAGGCAACCTGTGAAGGTGGTACTGGGCCACAGGAGTGGATAATTTATAAAGGTTGTCAAATTTAGAACCAGTTAAGTGTAGCAGTCACTAAAATTTTAGTTACTGGAACATAAGTGAGCGAAGAATTCAGCCCGCTCATTGGACCTTCAATGTTTATAAAAATTGCCCAATGGAATTGCTTGTATTTTCTAAGTATAAAATCTATCTGCCAAAATGATACATTTTCCTCGGTGCAAATTGCGTCACTCACCCTCCCTTCTTTCCGGTTGAGTTACATTTAATAGAATCTCCAGCACAACGATAAATAAGAGGGAAACATTGGATCTGTATATTTTGTTTCTTATTTTGATTTTGCTTTCTTGCCATAAGAAATATTTTTATGCAAATTTGTTAACTTTTTCCAGTTGGCTTTTGGATGTTATATTTTATTTTTTAGAAACAAAAACCTTGTAAAGATCGAACAAAGATAAATACATTCAGAAAAGAAATCTGAATTTGTTAACTTTTTCCAGTTGGCTTTTGGATGTTATATTTTCACCAGAATGATTTTCTTAAAATAGCCAGCTAAATTTCCTCTGGTACTGTTGAATTCTCTGTTCTTCTGATTTTGTCCCTTTTCTAATTCTCAAATATTTGATTCCTGCAAAACTTACTTTGTTACAGGGAGAAAAGGTCTCCCTGCGAAACAGAGCTCTGGAGGATTCTTTCTGTCTTTGCTCCCTGGATAACTGCCAGGGTGTGTGCGGTATTTCCTTAGGGACGACCTGGCCCAGCTGCCCTTCCTGACCATGTGCATTAAGGAGAGTCTGCGGCTGCATCCTCCAGTTCCATTGGTCTCCCGCTGCTCTACCCAGGACATTGAGCTCCCTGATGGCCGGGTCATCCCCAAAGGTGCCCACAATGGCAGAGGGACGAGGCTCCTGGGCAGGAAGAGGATCCCATCAAGCAGTGGGGCCCAGTTCTGACTGTCCTCTCTTCTGCTACAGATGTCATCGTACTCATCAATATTTTAGGAACCCATCACAACCCAGCTGTGTGGCCGGACCCAGAGGTGCTGACTTGCTCCACTTTTTTTTACCCCTTCCAGGGGCCCTAGAGGAGGGGGCAGGACTTTGACAGGGAACTGGAGGTTACCTCCTCCCCCTACTACTAGACACACTCACCTGTCTCTCCAAGGCTGGCTGTCCTGGGAGACCCCACCCAGCACGCCTGTCTCCCTCTCTCCTCCAGGTCTATGACCCCTTCCGCTTCGATCCAGACAAAGTCAAGGAGAGGTCACCGCTGGCTTTTATCCCCTTTTCCGCAGGGCCCAGGTAAGTTTGGTGTGTGTCCCAGGCAGGGACTGAGAGATGGGTTCAGGGGTCTGGGCAATGACAGTAGGAAAAGGTGAGGTGATGGGGAGCTGCAGATGGTCAGAGATTCAGCTCTCCTTCCCTGCTCCCCAAAGTTAAGGGCATGGGGGTCACCAAGAAGGGAGAAGATGTGCTAGAGCTTTTGTCTGTTGCTGTGAGTTTGGACTGGAGTTTGGGCCAGGCTGGGGGTTATGCAGGCTCACGGTGGGCGGGGGAGAAGTCCCACACAGACTTAGCTCCCCTCTGTGCCCCGCAGGCTGATTTGGTTGCGGGGGTGGGGTTGGGGGTGGGGTGGGGTGGTCACTATGCAGAGGAGATTGGGTCATTGGTCCTGGGCGAATTCTGAGTCCATATCCCTACCCCCAGGAACTGCATCGGGCAGGCCTTCGCCATGGCCGAGATGAAGGTGGTCCTGGCGCTCACGCTGCTGCGCTTTCGCGTCTTGCCGGGCCACTCCGAACCCCGCAGGCTGCCTGAGCTGATTCTGCGCGCGGAGGGCGGTCTTTGGCTGCATGTAGAGCCGCTGAAGGCGGGCGGGCAGTGACCCGGCGACACGCTCCCTCCTCCCCTCCCCCAAGCTTTGCCGGTTCCTGGGAATAAAACTCTGCAGTCGCCTCTGCCCGAACCTCATCCACGGCCAGCAGGGGGCGCTCGGGCACTGCGGGGATCCAGGGGGTGGGCTTGATGGGTGGAGGCGGGGCTGGTCTCTGAGAGCCACACCCCGACAGCCTCGGTGGCTGAGCTCAGCACTCCTGCGCCTGTCGCTGGTTCTCTCAGAGTCCAAGTATGGACTTTATTCTACAGGAGATAAGGAGCCATGGGAGGTGTTTGAGCATGAGAGGGCCACAGTTAAGGCCAAATTTAAGAGGCAAGACGAAGGCTCTGAGTCAGAGAGAGGACTCCTAGAGGCGGATCCCTTCACCTACTGAGGGGTGTCCCAAGACGCCCCCACAGAGCCCACTGACCAGCCCATAGCACAGAGGAGGAGGCCTGCAGCTCCCACCCTGGCAGCCTGTCCAGGATTCCTAGTTCCCTTCCTGCTCTTGCCAATGTCCCACACCTGTGTCCACCCTTCCTGGTTGGTCCCATCGGTGATCTCTTCCCCTACCTTCGGGGAGTCCCTCACTCCCTTCTTTGATGCTGCCTGGGCAGCCTGGACAGCACATACTGATTTAACCCACTTAGGAGCTCTCACAAGAGGGTGGGTGGGGAGGCTCATCACCACCCTTTCCCCTCTGGGTTCCTCCTTCATTCCTATCACAGGCCACCCTGACCCATCTTGAAGGGGGCGGGGGCAGTGCCATCCTGTTTCACTGGAGATCCAAAGCCAGACCTCTGGCCACAAATACCAGGGATACAGAGCCAGACTGCTTGGGCTCAAGTCTGGCTTCTGCTGTGATTTGGGCAAGTTAATGTCCCTCTCTGTGCCTCAGTTTCCTCGATCATATAATGAGGACAACAATGCTGCCTACCTCAGGACTGTCGTGAGGGCTGATTAAAAACGGCTTAGAGCTGTATCTGGTGCACAATTAATGCTCAAAAATGTGGCCATTATTACTACCTGTTCCAGAAAGGCTGCTGAAGCACGCGGCCTTTCAAGATACTTATTCCTGCTATGACTTTTAAGAGTGTGCCTTGGACTCAGAAGCAAGAATTGTAATATATTCATGCTCATTAAATCAAGTCTTTTCCCCACAAAATCTGTGCATACAGAAAGCAATTTTTTTCTGAGAGTGCAAAGAGGTAGAGAATGAAAGTAACTTCAGTTAATGTCTCAAAATAGTGTCCTGCTACAAACAGTGATCTCTTCTCACAGGGTAAGGGACTTGTACCATTGAGCCCTGCTGAGTCCTCGAATCTCCTCTCCAGCTGATCACCCCCATTCAGCCACCCTAGCCTTGATCCTAATACATCTTTTCTTGTCCTTGCATCTTTGGCAGAGATGGGTTACCTACATTTACGTAAATCTATTTTCTGTTCTTTCTATTCTGTTCCATTGACCCACTGTCTTTCACTGATACCACAACATCTGGATTATGGTAGCTCTATATTGTCTTGAACCCGGACAGGGCCACTCTTCCAACTTTGTTCTACTCCATCAACATGGTATTAGCTATTATAGGTGTTTTGTCTTTCCTTATAAATTTTAGAATTATTTTGTTGGTATCCACAAAATCACTTCCTAAGATTTTTATTGGGATAGTACAGAATCCATAGATCAAGTTGGGTAGAACTGACATTCTGTCAATATTGAGTTTTTCATACCGTACAATAAATGCCCAGTGAGGCTCGGCGCCTGTGGCTCAAGTGGCTAAGGTGCCAGCCACATATACCTAAGGTGGCAGGTTCAAATCCAGCCTGGGCCAGCCAAACAACAATGATGGCTGCAGCCAAAAAAAGCCGGGCATTAGCCGGGTGTCGTGGTGGGCACCTGTAGTCCCAGCTACTTGGGAGGCTGAGGCAAGAGACTCGCTTGAGCCCAGGAGTTGGAGGTTGCTGTGAGCTGTGATGCCATGACACTCTAGCCAGGGGGACAGTTTGAGGCTCTGTCTCAAATAAATAAATAAATGCCCAATGAGCACCAGGGGGCCTGGGTTGGCTTTGTGCCAGCTGCTTACAAGGACAAGCATCTGCCAGAAATAAGGCTTCACTGGAAAGGCGGCCACCGCCTCTCCTGTTATGCAAAGCACCTTCTTTTGTCTGTTTGTTTGTTTGTTTGCAATTTTTGGCCTAGGTTTGAACCCGCCACCTCTGGCATATGGTGTCAGTGCCCTACTCCTTTAAGCTACAGGCGCCGCCCCGAAGCACCTTCTTGAGGAACCTGGTACTAAACATTTCCTAGACAACCTGTTTCTGAGTCAGAGTTTCATTCCTAGTAGAGCAGCTCCCTTGCTGTGATCTACAAAAGTTGGTCAGTAAGACAAACAAGGGTTTCTTCTGCTGGCTGCCCTGCATTTGTCCATCCATCTATCCTCTGTCTGCCCTTAGGGACTCAGGACAATGTGCCCTAAAGGGACCCACTGAAATTGCAGCAAAATGGTGTGGAAAACACCAGGATGAGAGAGACATGGCTCTCTTAGTAGGGCATATTGTGAGCTCTGTGTTACATGTGATAATGGCATGGAGGTTATATCTTTAAAAGGAGGTGTTATGTGTCAGAGGTACACACTTAAGTCATTATGGATTAATGTAATACAGTGTTGGGGCTTTCTTAACAACATTATAGCAGATTTGTGGCAGAGATATAAATGAAACAGAATTGGTTTAGTGTTTACAATTATTGAAAGTGAGACATCAAAAATTATATCTTTCTTCTACTTTTGTACCTACTGGAAATTTCCACGTAAAAATGTAATCAATGAAATTTATCTATTATTATTTTTTTTAACAGCACTTAAAAATAAACTCAGTGGCTGAGCTCCGATAGCTCAGCGGCTAAGACACCAGCCACATACACTGTGATGGCGCGTTCAAACCCAGCCCAGGCCTGCCAAACAATAATGACAACTACAACCAAAATATAGCTGGGCATTGTGGCAGGCACCTATAGTCCCAGCTACTTGAGAGGCTGAGGCAAGAGAATCACTTAAGCCCAGGAGTTGGAGGTTGCTATGAGCCGTGATGCCATGGCACTCTACCAAGGGCAACATAATGAGACTCTGTCTCAAAAAGAAATAAATCAGTGGGAACACATATATCGTGCATTTTCTAAGGGTTCATGGCAAATCTAAGTGTAGAGTATAAATGTCTTAACACAATAATTAAGAAAGTGAAGTGAAAGCTATGTTAACCAGTTTGATGTAAGCATTCCAAATTGAATATAAAACCAGCACATTGTACCCCATAAACACATAAATGTATACAGCTATGATTTAATAAAAAATAAATAAATAAAAATAAACTCAGTGACATTGGAGTAGAAAGGAAATGTCCTAGCCTGTGTACACAAAACTTCCATAAATACAGTGCTTAACAGTAGAATATTGAAAACATTCTATTCTAAATAAGAAACAATCTATTCCCACTGTTGTTACTTCTCTTTAACATTTATAATGTGGGACCTTGCCCAAGTACATAATAAAAAATCAGAAAAATATTAAAGATTGAAAAGGATGATACAAAACTATCACAATTCATAGATGGGATCAGGTTGTACTATGACAGAAATATGCAAGAATCTACACAAACAACTTTTTGGAAGTTTTAAGTGTGTATCACATTGTTTCATTCCAAATTGGTATACAAAGATTAACTACAGTTTTATGCAACAAGAATAAATTTAAAGAAAAAGAAATGTATAGAAAGGTGGTATTTACAATAGCATGGAATACATCACATATTCGCAATACATTCAGATATTTTAATGTTTTTAAGTAAAAAAAATGGATGAAACTGTGTACAAACATATATAGAAGACCCAAATAAATGGTTAGTTGTAACTTGTTCCTGAATTAGAAACTCATATTGTCAAGATATAATTCTCAGGAAATTCAGTGAGAACTTACATTGCAGGAGAGACATGAGCAAGACGGCAGAGTAGGTGATCCCAGCCTCTCTTCTATCTATAAAGAATTTGGCAGCAAATCATGAATGAAGATAACCCTGAAAGAGCTCAGGAATCCACTGAAGAAGGTACTTC